CTTCCTCCCCCCCTCCCCCTCCTCTCCAGCTCCGCCTCCATCCTCCTCTCTTACTCCGCCCCCTCTCCTTCCTCTCCTCCCTCTTATCACCCGCTTGACGCTGCGCGCGTTCTTACGCTTCCCGGAAGCGGAAACGGAGCTCTCTTCGCTTCTGACGCCTAGACAGGGCACCGGAAGAAGCCGCGGTGTCGTTTTACGGTACTTCACAACGGAGAGCAGCCCGTACCGGTCATTAGGTAGCGGCTGTGGTGTCTGTGACAGGTTAGTTACTCCTGAGCGGGCTTTCCCTCTAAATGCAGCGATTAGGTGGGGTGTACCAGTGTGGGCTGACAGAGGGATGGCTGGGTCCGGCTCTGATACCAACTCATTGTCCTCTCATCATCCCCCCCCCCACCACCTACAATTGTGGTACCGACACTGGGGGTATATACTGGTGTGTACATCACCTATAGGGGGCTGGATGCTGGTGATGTGTATACTGGCCTCTGGGCAGGACATTTGTTTTGTATTTTTATTATACTCCTATATATATATATATATTGTGTGAATACATATATCCAAAACATTATATAAAGTATTTTATGGCGTATATATATATATATATATGTGTGTGTGTGTATGTATGTATATATATTAACCACTTAAGACGAAGCCGTTTCTGGCACTTTTTGTTTGTTTACGTTTTTAAAAAAAATCAGTATTTTTATTTTTTTGCTTAGAACCCCCAAACAAAATATATATATATATTTTTTTTTTTTTTTGCAGAGGCCCTAGAGAATAAAATGACGGGCGTTGCAATTTTTTTTTATTTGCGCAGCAGTTTTTCAAATCAATTTTTTTTTTTTTTGTGTGTGTATGATAAAAAAAACTTTTTTTGAATTGTAACCACTTGCACTGCAGAGGATTTACTCCCCTTTCCTGACCAGGCCGTTTTTTTTTTGCGATATGGCGCTGTTACTTTTACTGAAAATTGCACGGTCGTGCAATGCTGCACCCAAATGAAATTTACGTCTTTTTTTTTTTTTTCTCCCACGAATGGAGATTTCTTTAGATGGTATTTGATCGCCTGTGCGTTTTTAAAATCTCCTTGCGCTGTAAAAAAAAAAAAAGACAGTTTTCAGAAAAACAATATTTTTGCCGTTTTGCTATTAAACATGTCTAGTAAAAAAAAAAAAATGTAAGAAGTCATATTTCGTTATAAATTTAGGCCAAAATGTATTCTGCTTACATGACTTTGCTACAAAAAATCCCAATACATGTATATTATTATTATTATTATACAGTATTTATATAGCGGCAAAGGGTTTGCTCAGCGCTGTACATTAAAGTAATTGGTTTGCGTGAAAGCTATAACGTTTACAAATGGCGGTATATGTACTGGATTTAAAAAAAAAAATTTTTATACTAGTAATGGCGGCGATCCGCGACTTATAGCGGGACTGTGGCGGGTGTTCTGACACTGGGTGGGAACTGCCACTGACATCCCCAGTGACACCAATACAGTGATCAGTGCTAATAAAAAGCACTGACACTGTACTAATGGTTCTGGGCAGGAAGAGGTTAACATGAGGGGCAATCAAAGGGTTAACTATGTGCTGCTTTACTACCGTATGTAAGCAGCATGCTGGTGCTGACAGGAGAGAGATCTGTATTGTTTGCATACAGACCTTTCTTCTGTCAGTGTTCCTCGGCGATCGCCGGGCGCGGGATCTCCAGCCAAGACCCGGTGATTGACAGCTGTAGCCACCAATAGCGGCGCACGCACGCCCCCTTCCCGAAAATGCAATATCACGTGTATATATGTGATTTTGCGCAGTCCTGCCGCCCTGTAGCAGTAGTTCTCCTATAGGGCAGTTAGGAAGCGGTTAGTGCGCAAAAACGCAATAGAATACCCAGTTTGGTAAAAGATGACGTTTACACCGAGAAAATGGATACCAAAAATTGCGCACGCCAGCTGAATGGCACCAAGCGACTTACTTTTTTTTTTATCCATAGGTGACACTTTAAAAGCCTCTTACAGGAGACCACTTTAGATTTTCACAGGAGGAGGTCTGGTGCTAGAATTACTGCCCATGATCTGATGTTCGCAGCGATACTTTGTGTGTGGCTCGATTGCTGTTTACATATGCGTGTGCGGGTCCAATGCATGTGTGTGTCTTTGCGCGTGAGCACTGGGGGATGGGGGTGCTTTAACCACTTCACAACCGCGCTGAAAGTTGGCTACAGCTCAGTTGTCCAGTTCTGGGACACCGCTGATCAGGTGATGAGGTAAAAGGCCAATCACAGAGGTCCAATGACACAGCTGATCACCAAGTAAATACAGTTGACAGTTATCGGCAGCACTTTCCTCACACTGTCACAGCTGTAGGAAAGTACTGTTGATAACTGGCAAATGTCACAGAGGACATCTACACTGATGATCAGTGCCGCCAGTCAGTGCCCATCAATGCACATCAGTGAAGAAGAAAAATTACCTGTTTGCAAAGTTTTGTAATAGAAACAAAGAAAAACTTTTTTATTTCCAAATTATTTTGTGGCGATTACAACCAAAAGAAAGCTCTGTTTGTGTGAAATAAATTATATACATTTCATATGGGTGCAGTGTTGCATGACCGCGCAATTGTGTGATAGCACTGAAAGCTGGAAATTGGCCTGGGTAGTAAGGGGGTATAAGTGCCCGGTAGTCAAGTGGTTAAATACTACTAAATGTATAATAGTGCAGCGCTAAAATGATACTACAAATTACAACCATGGGTGGGATAAAAAACAATAGAATATGAGCGTATAATAAAAACATATAAATGAAGAGAAGTATAAAATATATCAATCCTATACAATAAGGGATTATAGGGCAAAGTGATCCGTAGTGATGACTGTCACGATCGCGGCGTCAGACCCCAGACCTCACCAAACTCGTGACCAAAGGACTAACCAATCTACAACCGCGATGTGACTTGCGTAACAATGCCACACCCAGCTGCACCCTGCACAACAATTTTCCAGCTAACGGACCACAATCAATGTACCGGCAGCCTGGGCGATTGTTACTGGGTCAGGTTAATTATGCAATTAACCCTTCACACTGCCACCACCTCCTTTTTGTCAGAAAAAGAGGAAACTCGGCGATCTCAGCTAAAACACTATAATGATTGAGATAATCGTCTGTATAAAACGATCATAACACAGGCCTGTTATACAGAGGTTTAAACAAACAGTAGCGTTCTCTTTAGAGGCAGGAATTCGTAAATTGCAATACAGAGCTATAGAAACAGTTCAACACTTTCAGAAAGAAAGATTTATTACTAAAAGGTCAAACGGGTGCAATAAAAATATTTACAGAAGCAAGATGTAACTAAGATATATATATATATATACATATACATACATACAAACAATAACAGCACAGCAAAGAGATAACAGAGAGATTAAAGTGTTAAGATACTTGCCATTAAGCCTTGGATGTAAGCAGACCAAGTTTTAGAGCAGAATGGTGCTTTGATCTTATCATGTTAGGATGGTCAATGGGAGAATTCTTCAACTTAACTTCTCTTAGGCCTGACAGCCTGTTTTAAAGTTCCCAGCAGGGGGTGTCTCTTAAGTCAAGGTCCAATAACCCTTTTAGGGTGTGTAGTTATGGGCAGATGCCTCAACTAGAGCAAAAACCGTCCATAACTCATATTTTGGCCCATAACTGTCCATCTGCACAAGGGACATTCCACCCGCGGGTAGATTATTATGCAAACAAGTCTAAGGATTAATTCGATATGAATTATGAAATTATATACTGCACATTTCACGAGATCTATGTTTCTGCTTCCCTGCGTGTCCGAGACAAGGTGAGTGACCCACCAAAATGTTCGGCTCCTCTTAGCCCATCTGGCGAGATGCTCACTTTTTATGTTCTCTCATATTCCAAGATATGAGACATAGGGGAAAAAATGGATTTGAGAAGTGTTTATCTGATTTTGTCACCTATGCTGAGCTAGGTTTTAGGAGGTTAGAATCTTTCAACTCCAGAGAAAGCTTGCCTTATCTCTTAGCAGGTGTGAAATGGTACAGCTTTCTTGGGACAGTGAGGCACCTCATTGCCCCCTGCTGGGATCTGGCCTGTGACACTTCTAATACACACATATACTGCCATATGTCACTGTGCCTCTCACAGAGGGAGGGGGGGGAAGAATAAGGGAGAAATATATGTGTCAGGACAGTTAACCCCTTTGCCAAGATGGAGGTTGAAACCAAAATGGTTGAACCGCGTCCATCTCTGGGTATACGCTGTTACAATGACTAAATAGTGCTCAAAATGTCCCCAAAGATTCAATCGGTGCTTGTGATAGCGGAAGAAATGCGCACTCACCAGACGCGCAATAGTAATGCGCGTTTGAATAAATTATCCTGATGTCATCAAAGTAATCATCTGGGCCAGTAGATAGAGAAGGCTTACTCTCAGGGTGAATGGGTCCAGGAACTTAAGATGTTGCTGATCCAGGGATATCCAAAGTACCCAAAATGGTTTCTTCCTCTGATGATGTGAGGAGGAGCCTACTCACGCCATGATGTCACACCGTCGGAGCATCGTGGAGCTCTGGCGGCCATCTCTATTCAGGGACGGTCAGTCCTCACTGCTTTTTAATGTTTATATTTGGATGCATCCTACTTTTTGATTAATAAATGTTTTATTCAACATACTGCACTATGGGCATTCTTCCGTTTTGACCCCTGTGGGGAGCATTAAATCCCTTAGACGCCCAGTACCAGCCCATTGCTGCCAGAGAGGGAGCCTCCTACATATTCCTGTGAGCTGTACCCACCAAATCCCTTAAGGGGTACTGTGGATATCCCTGAATCAGCAACATCTTAAGTTTCTGGACCCATTCACCCTGAGAGGGAGCCTTCTCCATCTACTGGCCCAGATGATTACCTTCATGACATCAGGATAATTTATTCAAATGCACATTAACCCCCCTGGCGGTATTCCCGAGTGTAGCTCGGGGTAAAGTTTCAGTACCAAGAGCGGTAACCCCGAGCTACACTCGGGCTTACCATGCGGCGTTGCTCAGGGAGTCCCTACAGCGCTTACCTTGTCCTTCGCTCCCGCAATGTGTCCCCTGCAGCGTCCCCGGCCATCTCCTCCAGCCGATGCCGGCATCCGGCTTCCATGTTCCGGTCCCTGTGACGCCGGAACCGGTGGCAAATTTGAAAATTTAAAAATAAATTTTTTTTTTAAAACGATTATTTCATAGCAAAACATTCCTGTATCAAAGCATTTCACATACATTTTGTCCCGACTGCTTTGTCCGGCGCCCTGCCTGCATTTTGTCTGTTCTTTCTGCCTGGAAACTGAGAAACGTCCATGGCGTCCAAAAAGCGTCCCTTTAGGTCAAAAGCGGGTTTAGATCAGCTAGAGAACAGCGATAGTAAATCAGAACCACTTGCAGAATTGAGTGATAATGATTCGTGGGGGAAATTCCTCATCAGACACTGAAAACGATTTTGCGACTTTGCTCAGCAATGTGCGAACTTGGCGCTATATTGCAAATTTCAGTGTTTTTGGTTTGATTATATTATTGAATTAAATGTATTATTATTATATTATTATTTTTTGAGTATTTATTAAATTATAATTTATGATTTCGTGTTTCAAGTTTTATCATATCCAGAATGTTTACTAGACTCTTGTTTGGACAGATTTCAGGGAGTTATTCCTAAATTACAATAAAAAAAATACATATTTCCATGCAAAAAAATGGTACCGCTTTTGGTACAAAATTCCTGACATAATCATACCGCCAGGGAGGTTAATATTGCGCGTCCAGTGAGTGCGCATCAGCTATCACAAGGACAAGCACCGATTGAATCTTTGGGGACATTTTGAGCACTATTTAGTCATCACTACGGATCACTTTGCCCTATAATCCCTTATTGTATAGGATTGATATACCGTATTTTCCGGCGTATAAGACGACCCCCTACTTTTCCTGTTTAAAATGTAGTGTTTGGGCTATACTCGCCGTATAAGACTACCCCTCTTCCAGTGCACACCAGTGGGAAGAATTGTGCCCCATCGTTGGTGTCAGTGGGAGGAATAGTGCCCCATCATTGGTATCAGTGGGAGGAATAGTGCCCCATCATTGGTGTCAGTGGGAGGAATAGTGCCCCATCATTGATGTCAGTGGGAGGAATAGTGCCCCATCATTGATGTCAGTGGGAGGAATAGTGCCCCATCATTGATGTCAGTGGGAGGAATAGTGCCCCATCATTGATGTCAGTGGGAGGAATAGTGCCCCATCATTGATGTCAGTGGGAGGAATAGTGCCCCATCATTGGTGTCAGTGGGAGGAATAGTGCCCCATCATTGGTGTCAGTGGGAGGAATAGTGCCCCATCATTGGTATTAGTGGGAGGAATAGTGCCCCATCATTGGGTGTCAGTGGGGGGGGGGGGAGGGAGGAATAGTGCCCCATCGTTGGTGTCAGTTGGGGGGGGGAGGAGGAATAGTATCCCATCATTGGCGTCAGTGGGGGGGGAGGAATAGTATCCCATCATTGGTGTCAGTGGGGGGTGGAATAGTGCCCCATCATTGGTGTCAGTGGGGGGTGGAATAGTGCCCCATCATTGGTGTCAGTGGGGGGTGGAATAGTGCCCCATCATTGGTGTCAGTGGGGGGTGGAATAGTGCCCCATCATTGGTTGTGTCAGGGTGGGGGGGTGGGGGGGGGGAGGAATAGTGCCCCATCATTGGTGTCAGTGGGGGGGGGGGAATAGTGCCCAATCGTTGGTGTCAGTGGGGGGGGGGGGGGAAGAATAGTGCCCCATCGTTGGTGTCATCGTTGGTGGGGGGGAGGAAAAGTGCCCCATCGTTGGTGTCAGTGGGAGGAATAATGCCCCATCATTGGTATCAGTGACATCAACGATGGGGCACTATTCCTCCCACTGACACTTGCTGACCCTGTTCCAGTACGGTGCTGCTGCAGCCAGCATATGTGATTGCAGCAGCACCTAAGCACGGCACACTTACCTGCATCTCCCACTCGATTTTCGCGGGGGCCGTTCAGCTCCGCCTCCTCGCCGGTGATTGGCCGCCTGTGTGCCTTTCCTGAGCTACAGTTCTGGCGGCCAATCACCGGTGAGGAGGTGGAGCCGAGCAGCCGTGCGAACATCCAGTGGACGAACCGAATGAAGGAGCAGCCGCGCTTCCTGGACCGGATCGTCGTGGGACCGGAGCCAGGTAAGAGACAGCAGCCCCTGCCCACCCCTGTACTTAGTTTTCCTTCTGTTGGAAGGGGGGGGGGCGGCGGCACCGCGCCGCCCCCCTAAAAAGTGTCAGCATGCCGTTACTGGCGTATAAGACGATCCCCGACTTTTGAGAAGATTTTCAAGGGGTAAAAAGTCGTCTTATACGCCGGAAAATACGGTATTTTATACTTATCTTCATTTATATGTTTTTATTATACGCTCATATTCTATTGTTTATTATCCCACCCATGGTCGTAATTTGTAGTATCATTTTAGCGCTGCACTATTATACATTTATTTCAATTAAGGTTTTTGTTGGTTACCTTGAGTGCATAGCTGCTGACTGGTCAGCGCTCGCTTCTTACAATTTTAGGTTAAATACTACTACTTTTTTTTTTTCTTTTTACCATTCCTTTAACCCTTGATGCCGAGCGGCTGCATATTTGCGTGCAATTAGAAAATACATGTGTACTGAGAGCGCGCCTTGCGCTCTCCCAGCACATATGTCCGTGACTCATGCAAAGGTCCCGGTCTCCCCTTTCGTTTGGGACCTTTTCTGATCATGTGATGGCGAATCACAGCGGTCACATGACCCTAAAACCCCCCCGCCTCCTGGCTTCTGAAGTTTAAAGGGCTGGGAGGCGCCGGCGCTAAGAGGATACGTTTGTTTTTTTATTTAAATTTTTTTTTTTCCTAGTTTAAGGCTTCATATACATGAGCCTAGAATGACCGCTGGGAAACGCGGTACCGCGGTTGCCCCGTTTTTATCGCGTTTTGCATTTTTTCCGCGGTCGTCAGTCAAAACGTTCTTATCCTGAACGCGACTCTACGATTAATAGGAGGTTTAACCTCACCTAACCACCGCTGTTCTTAAACTCTGCTAAAAGCCTGTGTGTACTGTGACGGGAGTCACTTTGTGTGGGGGGCCCATGGAGCACAGCTCACTTTGGAGAGGTGGGGAGACCCCTGTCTCAGCTCCCCATATCCCTCTTATGTGTAGGTCACCCTGTGTCTCTTAGGGGCACAGGGTGACTAATGGACGTTGAGAATGCGGTTGGAATTATGTCAGATGGGACAGTAATATTTATCAGCTATATGAAGACTACTCCTGATTGTTTATTCTGAACTAGACATGTGAATTGAAGGAGTCGGGCCGTCTGCTCTTTAGAGAGATCCTAATTCATCCAACCATTGTCTAGGTGTGAATTCTCATTCACCTTTTGTTTGGATCACCCAGCTAGCTAACCTAATTAACTTACTGTTTATAGTGTGAAGTCTATTTCTGTATATAGCTGCATTTGCGGAGCTGTGAAGGTGAGTGCCTTTTTTAGGTGGTGTCTGGGGGTCAGTGGTAGTGGAAGGCTCTCTCGTATAAGGGCAGTAGTGTTGTTGGTCAATGTCTCAGGCTCTCTCCTCCATGGGGGTGGGTGGTGGCATTGGTCGGTGTCAGTCTCAGTGTGTATTGTATAAAAAGCCTGTTTGACTTTAAAATAAAGAGTTCCATGTTCAGATAGACTGGTATCGTCTAGTCTTGTTTGGTCACAGATCCATGGTGGTGTCCGTGGATCTGTGTTTGGACAGGGAAGTGGGAGTCTAACGGAAATACCCTAGTGCGGTCGGGGTCCGGTTCCGTTACATGTACCCACAGGCTTTTATGGAGTTGAGTTTAGGAGCTTTGGCAAAAAAATGCCAAAAGCTCCGAAACTCGAGTACATGAAGCCTTACATTGTTCTTCATTTTTTTTTAATCATTTTTATGGTCACAAAGCATGTAAACATTCCTTGTGACAGCAATAGGCAGTGACAGGTACCCTTTATGGAGGTATCTGGGGTCTGTTCGATCCCAGCTGTCCTCCTCTGCCCTTAAAAGCATTTGGTCACACCAAGATCGGCATGATCAGATGCTTTCCCAATTTTTAAAATGGCGCTGTGTACATCTGGCGAGACCAGAAGTGATGAATGCTCATTGCTTCTGGTTCCTTAGATGATAGAGCCGCGCTCCGCTCTTAGATCAACTCTATGGTCAGCCAGACCCTTCATTTGTCTTTCATCCAGTTAATTGGTACAAATAGAAAATAGTTTTTGACTTTTTTTAGCCACAAAAAAGTTCAGACCCCCCCCCCCCCCCCCCCCCCAACCCTCTAGGACCAGGGGCATTATTACCACAAGGCAAACATGGCATTTGCCTAGGGTGGCATTTTTCAGGGGAAGGAGACTGGAGAAGAGACACACGTGGCATGGGGATCAGGTGGGATCTGAGAGAGGCTGTGGGCTGCTTGATGGTGTATGGAGAGCCCGACTCTCATTCCTGGGGATGTCCGGAGCTGTGAAGGTGACTGTCTTTTTTAGGCGGTGTATGGGGGTCAGTGGTAGTGGAAGGCTCTCTCGGATGAGGGCAGGGGTTTTGTTGGTCAATGTCTCAGGCTCTCTCCTCCACAGGGGTGGGGGGTGGCATTGGTCGGTGTCAGGCTCTCTCCACGGGTTTTTGTGTTGCTTAGCATAGCACAAAACCTAACAGTGGTGACACCAGCCATATGATGGTTTGAAAGTGGAACAATCACTCAGGGGGCACTGTTTTGCGGACTTTCTGCCTTCCCGGCCCCTGGCCAGACTCGGGTAGATCCGCTCAAATCAGGAGGTACTGGGCCCCTCTGGCGTTCCAAAGGGGAATTACTCCCGGGCTCCAACTCTCTATGGGCACCACGGTTTCTGTTCCCCCCGTATTAACCATCAGGACCCCCATCATACCAGCAGGGGTACTATACAACCAGTCATCCCCGCAAAGCTAGAATGATGGGGAGCACCCCTGCTGGACACTGATAGGAACAGATACACTTGATCTTGGCCAAAAGGCCGAGAAGCGACCTGGTAAAATCTACTACTGAATGCAAGTTTGGTACGTTAAAAAAAAGACACAAAACTCATCTGCCTGTAAATGACGATGTCTACATGGACACATAGGAAAACATTAGGGAGAGTTCAGGGGCTGCTGAAAAAAAACGCTGAGCAGCTCCTGAACGTCCGTTTATCAGCTGCAGTGTACATGAGCCCTAACACCCGCTGCACATGGGTACAGATAGTGGCTAGTGCACCACTG